ATATATATATGTGTGTGTGTGTGTTAATAATAATTTAAACTATATTGTAAAAAAGGAAGAAAATAGTAGTTGCGAATATTATTTATTTTATATAAAAATTTAATTATATAAAACAGATTATTCACCGAAAACTAAGAACTAATATATCCAAATATTAAAATTTATTTAAAAGATGTGATCATCTAACAAATACTTTTAACATACAATTCCGAAATTGAATCTCTACATTTTGCAAATGCATATGCATAAAAAAATTAAGTTATCTATATAAATTATAGCCACACTTTGTTAAAAGATGAAATTAGTTCGTGTTCATGTGAAGATGAAAATAATTTGTCTCACTTTCTGCTCCACATCATATGATTGTCACGTACCTCTTTCCCATTATATCCCTTTCTTACCCATCCCTCCTTTCTTCACTGCCTTCTCCCTCTCCAACTCACTCGCATGTCCAGCACCACCGCACTGCCCTTCACTCACAATTAGACTACAAGAGAAACACAATCTTTATGATCAAGAATCAACACAAGACAAGTCAACGACTTTAACCTCGTCTAGGCCCAATCTGTTGTTGCCACCCTCCACTGCTTTCAGTCATTGCTCGACTCCCTAAAGCCCACCATTGTCCCCGTCAACGCACTAAAGTGCTCATAGTCACCAGATGACAAGTCGACAATGTTGCACGACTTGCTGTTGGACAGCAATAAAGTGCCAGCAAAGAAGGGGAATCACCTTTCTCACATGAGGGAAACATGCAAAAATGTACATAAAACCTAACCCAAAAATAACAAATAAACCCTAAAAGCATATAACCAAAATAGTTCCCCTCATACTTAAATCACACATTGTCCCAATCAGAAACCTATGATGGAACAAAAAGTAAGACAAAAAATATGAAACTGGTGATTTTCATCCTTCATGTCACACCTTACAAAGTTCCACAAAAAATAGACATCAGATACTATTTCCTTGTCACATAATCTAACCCATCTTAAATAGTTTTTCCTATAATATATTTTCTCACTAATATTGAAATGGTTAAAATGCCCACTTTTGCTCCTTGTACCTAGTAAATATAGAAAAATCGTTGAATAATGTCGCTGCATTGATAAGATCAATCACAATTTGATTTTTTTTGCACAAACTTGCGTGAACAATAATAATTCTTGGTTGCACTGATATGGACAACACTCTTGAGGTCAAGCTTCCCTAGTTATAGAGCATCAATATTAATATCTAATGATCGAAAAAAAATTGATATCTTTTTTTATTTTACAGGATATCTTAAATTTTTTGAACATCTGAGTCTTTCAAATAAAATGAAGGTTATTAAGAATTTGCCTTTTCGTCCGCCTGTGTTTTTATTCCCTGTCAGCAAGAACCTAAAATGACAGCAATTATGAAAAACGAATAAGGCCAAAGGAGAGATGGCTAGCAAATTTTTTTCGAAGTAAGAAATTGATATAAATCGTCTTTGCAGTTTGCTCTCATTTAAGATCGAGTTTGATAAAATACAAACAGAAAGTGCATACAGATAGTATGCTGTGAATTACCCTCTAAATAGTAGCAAGTATAATAATTTCTGATCAAACTGATAGCATAAAGATGCATTTGTTCAATATTCTGCACCCCATCCCAAAGATAACAATGTACTAGTTTTTTATTTGAACACAAAAATGCAAGGGACGAGATAATTATCGATTGAAATGTAACCTTTGGCAGCAAGAAAATATGCGAGTTACCAGTCCAACTATACATGTACATGACTTTGGCAGAATGGCCATGGTATTGCAAGATCAACTCTACTCTAAGATACACTATTGGAAAATCATAAGTTACAATGCACAAAACTGGTCAACTTTAGTCAACTCCGCATTCGTTTCCTTTGGATACCCTCTTCATCGGCACCCTGCATACAAAGAATAATAATAGAACGAATAATATTTACTGATGATTGCTTGAAGTATATTCAGACAAGATAATCACCATATGGGTAAAATACTAACGACCAAGGAATATTAAAATGAAACAAAGAAACTGGTTGGCGATGAACGGGTGACAAAAAAAGGAGGCAAATGCCATGGATAAATAATATATAGTGAAATAGATACCTTTTCATCTAGTCCAAGATCTTCAGAGGCGCCCATATTAGATTCTGATCTGCATTTAGCATGAATAATGGGGCCCAACTGTGACCTGTCCATGCCTGCTGTTGTTCCCGTGGGTGCATAGAGGTATACAGCTCCTCTATACATCCATTCCTCCATTTCATCACTGTAAAACTCATCGAAAGGCTCTCCGCATAATGCACATGTATTCTGGTCCTCTTCTGCCGGCACTGCCAACTCTTCGTCATCTTTCCTTTCTTCTACGGTTTCTGCTGGCAAAAAACCTGGAACTGATTCTGTTCCCAATGCCTCTGCACCACTAAGCCACATCCTGTCACTCACAAACCACTTTCGAGAGGGTTTCTGCTTACGGCTTTTAGACATCCGATTCTTGGTCACATGCCAATCCATATGACTACTGTGTTCCTCTTGGCATCTGAATCGGAGCCCACAAGTTGTGCATTGTCTAGGGAGATCACCATATAAGGCATTTACTGCAGACTCATGACGAACCTTCAGAATATCTGGATTAAACTCGGTTCCAACAGGATCCTAAAAACAAATGCTTAATTAACTCTTGGATGCGACAGTCAAATCAACAGAGAGAACAAACAAAAGAAATGAACATATGATAGATATTAATATTAGATACCTGTGCAGGCAGCTGGCTAGCCAATGAAATCACGCCTTGAGACATTAGAGAACTAATTAAATTAGTATATCCAACAGCTGGCTGTTGGCTTGCCATAAATGGACTAGCATTTGAATGAGGAATCATTTGGGATGGAGCAGGAGGGCGACCTGGAGGCAAAGGTGGGTGGGCTCCACCCTGTAAATGTAAAGGGTTGTTTGCAATACTTTGGACTGGTAAAGGGAAGTGCATAACAGGTAACGGATTTGATATGGCTGAACTTATAGAAGCACCATGCCCCTGCAAAGAACTCCCATGATTAAATTGTGAGGTTGATGGATCCTGAGATGGAAAAAACTGTTGTGGTGCTTGCCCATGATTTTTCTGGTTGGCCGAAAGTAGTCCAGGAAGCTGATTAGGCAACTGATGTATCTTTGAAATACTAGAATCCTTGCTTTCAACACTATCAAATGAATGTTCTGGCATAAACGAAGATTTATTTACAACGTGGTGCACAATAGCATTACTAGTATGTATTGCTTCAAACTGACCCCTAACACGTTTTTGCAACGGAGATATTGGATTTAAAGTAGGAGGTCGAGTGACATTCAGATTTACAGCAGGCCTTATATCAAAAGACACTGGCAAAACCGATGGGCGGGTTTCCACATTAGAGACAAGGCCAGAAACCATCCTTGACACTGCAGGTCGAATCCGATAGGAGTTCACATCTGTATTCCGAATGTTATCAATAGGAGGGCTCGTAAGACTCCTTGCTTGCCCCCTATTACTAAAGATATGTTGCGACGAGTTAGACGGATGATGAGAAATCTTCCAAGCATCATGAGGTTGAGAGGAGACCAAATTATGGTTGATTTGATTTTGGAATCCAGGTACATGACCCAGGGGTGCACGGCGAAACTGCAAAGAGAATAAATAAATTTTCAATTATAGTAGCAAGTTATTGGTAATTCATGTTCCCTTTCAAATTATACTAAAATTTTCATGAACAAACTATCCCTACTAAAGTTTAAACTGTTAGATGAAAACAAATGGTTTTATTTTATATACATCTCTAACCCTCATACGCAAGAACTTTTATCAAAGCATGGAAAATATAAGGCCCACTTATCTTGAACTACATTCAACTTTTTTATTATAAAATAGGGGTGGTAACTAGTAGCCAATGCCAAATAGTGACACAGAATGTCCGACCCCAGACACGCTTTAGTGGGTAGCAAGATGACCACTATTTTTAAGTTTTAAGATACACTAACATAAGATTATACCACACATATGCACTGGAAAATAAAATTTTTAAAAAAATATACCTAGAAGGAAAGACAATCATAATTAACTATTAAATGTTAGTTTAAGAACTGAGCAAACACCTCAATAACAAAAATAATAAAGGAATCATACAAGCTTCTAAGGCTTAAAGCAACAACTTTTTTCAAGTTCAAATAAAAGCTTTTTAATAGGTATCAACATCTTTATCTCCAGGATCTGTCATGTCTTCCTTATTTTAGCTTTCAATACAACTTTCATACTTCTTCCTCTTTAGTTTCTTCATCACCACATTCTTCTTTCAATATAACTCTTTCGTTTTCCCTTAGAGCTAGATGGCCTAGAACTTGAAGCAATTGCAACTATCTTCCTTAATATTGTTTGTCATCTAGTATATGTTAAAGGATCAACATGCCCATTCGCATTGGCAACAGCTCCCTAAGTCAAGGTATTATCATCAAACACCAACTCATCTTCAGCACCTCTTCATCATCTCCCACCCATTTCTCTATCAACCACTCATAACTATCATCAAAATCATTTAGGAGAATAGGATCCATCATATCACAACACTTAAATGTTCTTTCAGAGCGGCTTAACTCATCCATACAAAATCGGTTTATAAGGTGGAAATTGTCCTTCACTTATATACTTTATGTTAACCTTATCTATAGCTGATGAGAGGCTTGGATTTTTTTCAATAATACATTCTCTTACGTCCAATACTATTAGGCTTAGTACATAGGTAAACCATAGGTGACCCTTTTTTTTAAATATTTTAGGATAGGCGAGACTTGAGTCACACCTAGTACTATAAGTTTAGTGGGTGTATAAATAGTAGGTGATCCTTTTTAATGGATCTAGGAAAGCTTTGGTCATATTTAAAAAAACCAAGTTGAATCTTGCTTCTTTTAGAATAAATCTTTTTTATAATTAAAAAAGTTGACTTCACTATTATTAAATGAAACTCCTTAAAATGAAATTATTTTACATTTACTCACATATAATCCCTTTCTTCCCTAGTTTCCAACAAGTATCCTCCTTCAAAGCCAATCCTGGTAAAGATATGATTAGGAACTAAATGTGGACATCTCTATTAGTGAAGATTTGAATCTTGGTTAGCCAAGTTGTCAAGGAATAGCCCCTTCATCTAGACCCAACCTACATTGGTAAAAAAGGATCTCTTCTACTTACCAAGAACCCAAGTGTTGATTTCCCTTTTCCATTTATCTTATTTAGCTATTCTAGACTTCAATCACTCAATAGAAGTGAACATCTTCCTCAAGTTGTATTTTTAAATATGCAACCATCCTCAATTTATACATGTTTGTGAACCTCATGATTATTCATTGGTTTTGTCATGTATTCCAACTCCTCTTTAAGGAGAGACACTTGCAATCAAGATAGCTTAGGACCTTTACATGTGAGCCATAATTTCCAAAAGCTTCAACCATTAACTTTAAGCATCTTGAGCATGACATTTAAAGCAATTCCTATTCCAACAAAGGAATCACCCTATGTACCAAATTGTTCCTACTCTTGCCTCATTGTCACAAGTCTCAAAATTTATGTTTTTCCCTAAGTCTTTTCTAATGTGATAGTTGTTTCTTGATTTAGAACCACGATAAATCCATAGGTCTTTATGGCTTTATTGGCAGTAGCAGTGTATTGAGAAAAACTTACATCTCACATCGACTACAAATATGACAAATAAAGAGTTTATAAGTAGAAAACAATATTCGCGTTACAAGTCGATTTTGTAGAGTTAAGTTAAATCCATAACCTACATTTTAAGATGATATCGGAACCTATTCTGATAATATTGTTGGGCTTATTAGGCCATCCATTATCAAGTCGTTATCCTAGATCATTAAAAGGACCATTGATCATTTATCTACATACCAAGTCCAATAGTATTAGACATGAGGAAGTGTACCGAAAAAAAACCCAAGTCTCACATCAACTAGAAATATGGCAAATAAATGGTTTACAAGTAAGGCAACTCGCATCTCACAAGCTAAATTTGTAAGGTTGAGTTAGGGGCATAACTCATTCTAAGATGGTATCAAATCCTATCCTGACAATTATTATCAAGCTTATCAGGTCACTCGTTCTCGGACCACCCACAAATGTCCAATCCTACAAATTTCACGCTCAAGATGTCCAATCCTCAACATGAGGGAGTGTATAGGAGATCTCACATCACCTATTGATGAAACCATAATAGTGTATATAAGTGGAGAGTAATCTTCATCTTACAAACTGATTTTGTAAGTTTGAGTAAGTCTCTTAACTCACTTTCTTAAAATAGTATCAGAGTTATCATGAATCCACTTTAAAAGAACCACCCCCCATTGATACACACACCAAACCCAATAGTACTGGGAGTAAGGGGTGTATTGGAAAAAATCCAAGTCTTTCCTATCTTGGATCATTTAAAAGGGTCACTCACCATTTATTCACATACAAAGTCTAATGGTATCAGATGTGAGAGGGTGTATTAGAAAAAAGTCAAGTCCCACATTGAATACAAACAATGCAAATAAATAATTTATAAGTGAGGAACAACCCTCACCATACAAGTCGATTTTGTAGGGTTGAGTTAGACTCAACCGACATTCTAAGATTGTAGATCACATGATGCTAAGTGGAAGTTGTAAGTCTTTGTCCTCGTCATTTTCTTGAACCTCAATCAAGCATACCTACCAACTCAACTTACTTCTTCATAAAGGCTTTTTGTATATTTTCCCTTCAAAAGGAGTCTTGGTACAACTACTAATGTCTCACTCTCACCTCATTCTCATTTGATTTCTTTTTGCTCAAGTAATACAACGTCACAGTAGTCAATCCCGAATAGCGGATAGCGAGATGCCACTATTCTAATTTATAATATGTATAATTAATAGTATACGTATAAAAACAAAAAAATAATAATAATAACTCAATTTATACATTAATTATTTTCTATAATAAAAATTTACAGTAGTTAAATAAAATTAAAAATTAGAAAATTAAGAAAACAAAATGTTTAAAGTCCTATATTAAATTTTTTACTATTTAAAATATTGTCTAAATTATAATTTAAAATAAAAAGAATTTATTGTCTAAAAAAATAGAGAAGTAAAAATAAACTTTACTTCAATTAGGCTCATCAACCAAACCAAAAGAGAAAATAAATAAATAAATATGGGCCCATTGGCCCAACTTTTTCAACCCTAATTAGTTGAATATAACCATCTACACATTAGCTATAGCCCCCCACCCTTCTTAGAAGATGATATGCAAATCCACCAGAGAAGATAGACTCGTCGCCGCCATCGAGAAGACAGATCCAATGCCAACCGAAGAAGACAAAAATGCAGAGATCCACTAGAGAAGAATACAGATCTATAGGAGATTTATCGAAAGAAGCAAGGGGAAACCCACCGCCCAACCTGCAATCTCCGTTGCTTTTGCAACCACTTTGACAACTCCTTTAAAGTGCTCTACATCAAGTTTTCTATAGCGGCACTAAGTCGCTCCGCTCTACTCCATTGCTATTGATAACTATGTACCACATATGGTGGTTTTGCCACAAAAGTCACAAGTAACAAGCTTTTTACTATTGATGCCTATTAAGCTATTTCACTGCCAAGCTATATCAAATTTATTACCAGTAGGCTTTACAAATGCACTAAAAGGAGATTGATACAAAAGTAGAGGCAATGCTCCTTGTGGCTAAGTGGATGACACCATTGTTGTTACAACCTTTTAGAGAAGTTGAAGGGCTAACTAAAGGAGGAAGAAAATAAAGCAAAGATGAGCATGCTGGAATACAGCCAAAACAAAGATAGATCTACGCCAAAGATGGAGAGTGCCACCAAAAACTGGCCGAAAACAATGTGAACTACCCAATTCTAGCCAGAAATGGTCATAGGCCACTAGGAATCTCGGCGAAGAGAGTTGGGGTTCATCAGAGATGGTGAAAGGCAAAGTTTCAAGTGGAGGCACACAAATGAGGACTAAAAAAGGTCTCAAAACAGGTCAAATTTTAACAAGGACAAGATTCCAAGATTGCCCCCTAAAACACCTTTGAACAGCACCAAACAAGGAGATAAGAAGGCATTAGGGTTGATGGAAAAATCCCAACCAAGAAAGTAGTGAAATCATAAAATAGTAACTACAATTAGCATCTTTCTAGCTGTAACAGTGATATACGACACAACAGGGGCAGAGGAGCAGCAGGTGGATGTGATGCTCTGCAACAACACTAATATCATCACTATTGCTCGTGATTAAACAATTAACCCAATAACACTTGGTTATAGAGGTTCTAAAATCATATCATGGGCAAACTATTTTGAAACCTTAAGCTATTTATTAGATAAAAAGAAATGGTTTTATATTGAAACTCAAAAAAGATTAAATACATGTTGACATCGAAAAGCTGAGAATCAAACATAAAATACTAAAAGGAAAACATCAAGACTGCTGCCACATAAAGTCTGTTTGCTGTTACCAAAATGGCTAAATTATAAAGGCAGTAGTTTACAGTAAAAAATGTGGCATTAATGAATATCTATAAACTAATTTAGAGACCAATTGCCAGACACGTAGGATTAATTTCAGGCATTTGAATGAACCTACCAAACTAAGATAACAAGATCCTCATCACCAAGAAATTATCATTGGATTTGGATCCCAAAGCATCAATGACATCAGACTAGAGGTATATATGTTAACGGGGAAATGCAATATCATAAACCACACAAATAATATATTGCAGAAAAAATAAATTATAGAAGTGAGAAAACATACAGCCGAAGAGGCAAATGCATCTTCTGCTACAGCAGAAGAATCATCTAGTGGAGGAAGCTGAGATCCACTAGACCAACTCTTCCTGGTATCTTGCTCAGACAAAGTTGTATTAGCTACACTGACAGGCCTTTCCCTGGGGAAACCAATAGTTGAAGACAATAAGCTGTTATTCCTACTATGGTCCATTAATGTTGGACTCATATCTTCCCAATCAAACTCCTCCTCTTCAGTATTCTGCCATGAGGTTGACAACACCTTGTTGTCTATACCATTTCTATCCAGACGTTCAACTACCGAAGGCTTACTGCTTGAAGTTTCTTGGCTTTTGTCACTACCATACGCATCAATTAAAGCTCTTGGACTTTGACGCTGGTGTCCATTACTAAGGCTGTATGAAATAGAAGTTGGAAATCGATTACGACCATCACCAGAATACTGCTTTCGCTGCCAGTCACTCAACTCCACATCTCTACCTAATGCTTTGGCTACTCCATAATCAATGGCAGGATGAGGAGACTCTCTCTCAATTAACCTGCCAGCAGAATTCTCAACTGCATATTCATCCATAGATGCAGACAAAGGCCTATCAAGTCCAATTCTTGAAGGGGACGAGGATATTCCAAGCCTGCTACTGCTAGATAAAAATTGTTGTGTCTTACTTGCTACAAAGCCAAAATTACTAGCATTTCCTGATGAATCCAACTTTTCACCACCAACCTGTGAAGATAAAACAAATACTGTCACAATGCCACTCTTCATGTGTTTGCAAGAATTTTTCCGCAAATAAGGATTGAAAATTTTCTCTATTGAACACTAAAATATTCAGCAGCAATCCCTTCCTAGAATCAAATGGATAAATATTATACTTCCTAAGGCCCCCAGACATAACATATAATAAGAGAAAACTATATGTCTAGAGAAGGGAAAGGCAAAATAATATCACTTACCAGGGTGAAAAAATTTCCAAGATGTAAAAAATAATAAGAAATTACAGATAAATTATGTCTGTCAGACATGTTGCAAGCCATACTAATAGATCAAACAGAATTTTATTGTCATTAACATCATGCAAATTGGAGGCTCTCAAAGGACAACACAGAAGAAACATACAGGCCCATTAATTTATAGAGGAGAGGAATCAGGAAAAAATAAACCATTCTTATTAGAGATAGGAAACTCAATAAATCATAATAAATAAATAAAAGACTGTAGTGCTAGGTCTTGGTGTTGTTCATTTGATTAAAAGTTTGGTAAAATTTATTGTTGATAGTTTTGATTTTGAAAAGTTAAACGTCAATGGGATGTGTGTGTACAAATTAATCTTAACAGATAACAAAGATTTTCCATTAGAACATGTTGCACCGAGTAAAATTGATTTTAGATGGTAAACATACAGGCCCTTAGTCATAATTCATAAAAACTCAGAGGAAAGAAGGGGAAGAGGGATTAGCAGACATGAAAGGTAAAACAATACATTTTCCAAAGCCTCCCTTACCACCCATCAAAACATATGAGTCACGTCTACATTGATGTCTCCATCCACAATAGCTAAAATTAACATCAAATTCCAGTCATCAGCATGTACAAGGTTTGAAAAATATAATTTACCGCAAAAGAAATGGGGAACATTATTGGAAAGACAGACACAGCCAGACATGCAAGAAAGGAATGATGGATACAGAGAAATCCTACTATGGGAGATAAAACAAGATATTTACTACAAAAATTACATCTGGTTAAGATTACATGTAAACAATAAAAAAATCCATTAGTGGGATATACAACATAAGGGTACCAGCTAATAAAGCCTCAGCCTAGTCCCTGTATAGTTTGTATGGAAGATAGAAATGACACAAAAAAGCTTACACTATCCACAGTCGACCGCTCTAACTGCCGTAAGTATTTCGGATTAACATGTATGCCATGACTTGGTCGAGGAGATTCAGAAGCCCTGACAGAATTCAGGGTGGATGATTGAGAAAATTGCAACTCAGCTTCAATCTTGCGTAGAACAGCAGGTGGAAAGACTTTTGACCAGGTACCAAAAAGATGGCGCATAGCAGGATGCAAACTAGACTGAACCTGCCTGTATGCCTCACAGAAAACCTGGGGAGACAATCGAAGCAGACACTTCAATAGCAGAATAAAATGATAAAATTAAAACAATAATAATGCAACTCTAGTTGACCTACTTCTGGCAGACGTAGAGAGAAGTATCTAATGTATTCCTGCCCAAAATTCTTTACAATACTGTCTAACAGATAGAGTGAAGGAAGCTTTTGATCTGCTGGCACCTGCAAAAGAATATCTCCAAAAAATTGAATTCCAATGTGAACAGTGGCATAGCCAGATATATAATTCAACGAGAGATTTTAATTCTAGTAAGTAGGAAAACTAATGTTCATTAAAAAAAAAAAAAAAAAAACTCATAATGCACTTGGTCATTTAACAAGTCGTTAATTTTTTTACATGTTGTATACAATTATCTCATTTTGCATGATCTGATACTTTTTTAAAAAATTACAGAAACATTTTCCAACGTAATTAAACACTTGTTCATTCATCAACTTCTTTTTTAATTTTTGCAGAAATTACTTGATTTCAGCAAAAACTGAAAGCACAACTTTCCTTTAATGGCAGTCCTGAGGCTTTCCAGAACAAGTAGTATTTCAAATATCAATTCGTATACCCTTCTTTCTTAGACTTTCCTGAAATCGAAAAAAGTACTGAAACACGTTGCACACAATCGCACCTAATCTTCACAATGCGTGAGGAACTCCCCATATGATCCAGTCACTTATAGATTGTATACTATTTCCCATTCTTTAAACGACCAGTACCAACTAATTATTTTTGCTTTACGCTTTAATATAATACAAGGTCAATTTGAGCATAATCCAATCGTTCTCTCCGTCTTTGACTCTTTGGTGACCTTCATTTTTCTAATTAAGCCAAAAGCATAAAAAAAACGCAGAACTAAAAATAAAAAAATAAAAAAAAAAATAAAACCGAAGAAGTGGAACCCGAATTGTGACATTCGAAAAATTGAAACAACACAAGAGGGGGATAATTTTGACCCGAACAAATAAAACGATTCCATGACATTTTACAAATCTCGAGAGGTAGAAGGAGAAGAAGTTTCGGCGGCAACGGAGACGGACCTCGAGAATCCGAGCGCAAATTGCGTCAGCGATGCCCTTGGCGTGCTCCCTCTGCTGCTCGGCAATGATGGTGAGATCGGTGATGATAGGTTTCAAATTGCAGGTGAGTTCGGAGAGGAGCAGCTCGTAAATCTGGACGATTTCGTCGGTGGTGGGCGGCGGCACGGGGACGCCGGTGGAGAGGCGGAGCTCGTCGTCGCGCTGCTTGAGGAGAGCCTTGAAGCGGCCAACGAGAATCGACGGAGGAGGCTTCTGCGCGGCGATTGCGATCTCATTGCTCATGGGTTTGGAAGCGAACGCCGCGGGTCTAGGGTTTTCGGGGGGCAGAATCAGGTTTTGGGAGAACATAAATATGGGTTTGGGATTTGCGGGGAGAGGAGGAGGAGGAGGAGGAGGCTACTTAGGGTTAGGGTTAGGGTTTGGGGGCGTCGCCGTTTGCAGTTACGGCTGCATAGAGAGGGGGGAATGGAGAGGAAAGGAAAGGGGTGGGGTTTGAATCGGACGGTGTAGGAATGATGCGATGCTATTGGGGGAATTTTGATTTGAAACCCTTTCCTTTGTTTTGTGTGCGAGCGTGCGTGCGTGGGTGGGAGGGGCTCTCAACTCTGAAGCCCCCAAACTGCACACTCCTCTCATAAGCGCCACACGCCATCGGGATATCGCTGTTACCTTTTACTTTTTTTTTTTTTATTCAGATTTATTTTCCTTTTTTGTGTATGCTATCACTATTTTTTTTTTTTTTTTTTTACTTTATGAGGAATAGAATAACTTTCACAAACACAAAAATTAATAATACGACAGTGAAATGCACACTTTAATCAACTCTCACTTTCCGGTTACAACTTACAGGTAAATTCATTCACAAATTTTTTTATGATTTTAAAATATTTTTTATAGATTTGCTAAATGTGTTATAAAAATCGATATTTATAT